CAGAAATGCTCCAGAGCACTGTAAAAATTATCTGAAATGCTCTCAACAGCACTAAGCATTTCCAAGACTTTCTTAAACTACACCAAAACTCTTCTGAACTTCTACAGGGCTCTACCCAGCACTGAGCTGCCTCTGAACCTCCCTGAAGGAGGTTCTTCTCTTCTTCAAGTTACCGGAAGGAACACTGTTAAAAGACAATGTCCAAGCATTTGCATCTGGAAGGGTCTTATCCCCTCCTTATTGCAGGGGAAGTAAAGAAATCAGAGCTGGACTTTTCTCAGTGGCACCCGGAGGCACAAGAGGCCGGGATAAATACTGGGGCCAATACTGCTTAACTTCTTTATTAATGACCTGGCCGGCAGGGCAGAGTGCCCCAGCAAGTTTGCAAGTGATACAAAGCTGGGAGGAGTAGCCAGTAGACCAGATGGTTGTGCTGCCATTTAGAGGGACCTTGACAGGCTAGAGAAATGGGCAGACAGAAGAACCTCATAAAGTTAATTGGGGGGAAATGCCAAGTCCTGCCCTGGGGAGGAATAACGCCAGGCACCAGTACAGGCTAGGGGCTGACCAGCTGGAGAACAGCTTTGCAGAGAAGGACCTGGGGGTCCTCGCGGACAACACATTGACCATGAGCCAGCAAAGTGTCCTTGCAGCAACGAAGGCCAACGGCATCCTGCGTTAGGCTGCCAGCAGGTCAAGGGAGGTGACCCTTCCTCTCTACTCATTGCTGGTGTGGCCACATCTGGAGTACTGACCACAATGCTGGCTTCCCCAGTACAAGAAGGACATGGATGTCCTGGAGCGTGTCCAGTGAGGGCCACAAAGATGATTAAGGGACTGGAGAATCTGGCATATAAGGAGAGGCTGAGAGAGCTGGGATTGCTCAGCCTGGAGAAAGAGAAATTACCCATATGGGTGGAAGAGCATAGAGAAGGGGAGATTTCAGGAAGAAAGAGATGAGCCTCAAATAAAAAAAAAACACGTGCTTTGTGAGAACCTGTTAATAAAGCCAAGCCCCAGAGAAAGTGATAGCTGAGTGTGAATAGCCCACAGTGAGCATATTTTGGAGTGGAGGAGGAATACCACAAAGCCAAACTCCTGAGATTATTATGTGACTACGTGAAAAATGTGCTCCTAGAGCACAGAACAACGGGGGCTTGTTCTCTTTGCTGCAGACACTGCGTACTCTCAAAACGCACTCAAATAGAAGATCTGAAAGGGAGTACTGAAGGCCGAGTGTTTTATTGCGCCTGTTTTATGGATGGGAGAGAGGTGTTGCGAAGCAAAATGATTTTCCTCAGTCAGCAAAGCAAGCCCCACAAGAGAGCTGCAACCTGCAGACCTTGATACATACTCAAGAAAGACTGAGTCATGTCTTTTTGGGTGATCAGTCCGTGTGCACTTTATGTGACCTTTTACAGCTCCTTTTCTTCTGAGGCTGTTAAATGTCAGTCATAAATCTATGCAGGGGACACTCATACATCGTTTTAATAGGTGATGGCAGTCCAGTAGCCAGATCTACTGAGAGAAGACTTGAATTCAGGACCAGCCACGGTTTCTATGGGATGGAGGGGGACTGTGCTGTGTGCAGCTGTATTTCTGCAACGGGATCCAGACTGTGCACTGCATGTGGTACACATCTGCAGTAAAACCACGTGTCAGAGAGGAGAACAAAAGCCATATATATGGACTGCATGCAGGAGTGGTTTTAATTCCCCGTTAGCCACTGTTTTCTGCTTGCTTGCCACAGCCTGGTCTCTATTTGTCTTCCTCGCACGGCAGCATGGATCCTCTCAATTCGCCGCTCTGCGTGCCCCAGAGCCCGCACACTGTGCTCGGCCTGGGAGTGCTCCAGCGGCGCAATGGATCAAGACACAGGCTGAAGGAGGGGAGGCGATGAGGAAGTGGGGAGCCAAAACCTTTCCTAGCTACGTCCCCATGCTGTCACTTAGCCTCGGCAATGTGAGCTAGCAGAGGGGTAGCCCTCGGGGCTACAGCCAGGTTGTGCCGCCGGACGCGATGGGAAAGGGCCCAAAATGAGCCAGACCTTCCCCGTCATTTCTCATTCCTGTGCGTCTTGTGGCTTTTAGTTTATGTTACGCTTTTTAGATTTATACTTTTGCATTTTTATGTTATTTGTTTTTCGGTTTCTCTTACCCTGGTAATGGTCATTTGGAAAAGAACTGCCCATTAGAGGCACAGATTAACAGGAGGTCCCCACCCCAGCAGGCATCCACCAGAGATGATGATTATCTGAAAAGCTTGCAGGCTAGATAACCATGACAAGGAGCACAAGAGCCAAATATGACCTCTGTTTTACAAATGGGAAACTAAGGCACAGGGCTGAATGGTTTGCTTATTTATTTGTTTGCTTGAATGCCATAACTTGTAAATCTCAGGCTCAGGACAGATTTCACAGTCAGGTGGTGACCTAGGCACATCGTTCACTTGAAAGAAACTCAGAGATGTAAGACGAGTCTAAATGCTGAATTTTAGGGGGGGGCATGTAAAATCTTCTTTTACTATAATAACATTCTGATGCTTACCCTTAAATTACTGATGTGTAGTTTTAAGTTTGATCTCCAGCTGAACAATCTTATTTTGTCTGGGAAGAGAGAGAAGATGAAATTTGACTACCATGACCAATTGTAATTGTTCAGGAAAAACGTCTTCTGATCAGAGATGCTCTTTATCACAGTTCCTAGCTAACCTTAGCAAGCATTTGAGTTGGCTGGTCTACAGAGACACGCCCTCTAGTGATTGTTTTATGCAAAATTAGTCTAGGTTTGGTTCCTCATTTACTAAGCTCAGCCTTTTGAAACCCCTGTTGTTCAACGGCGCTCAATGGCAAAAGACATGTTTTTCCTATTACGCCGCACAGTGGACGCGTATCTCCAGCAGACGACTCCATGAGAGTGCTCTGACACTGCCAATCACAGCACAGCATAAACTTATTTCTTGCACAGAGCTCCAAAGTGCAGGGTTAGACAACTTAATATAGCAGAGCTTGCCCAAGGCACTCTCCGCTAACCTGCAGACTGCAAAACAACCACGTTCTTGGTTTGCAGCCAGGCCTCCTTCACTGTTTTCAGCTGTTCTCTAGCTCCATAAGCAAAATATTTTCTTTTCTTTCATACAGTGACTTATGGCTGGGAAGAGATCCCTGCTGAAATTCGCAAAACTGTTTTCTAACCTCCCCTTGAAATCTTCTCCTGCCCTGATAACTCTACAGCGCTGCCGTCCGCCTCGGCTACGACCAGCGCTCGGTTTTGCCAGAACTTCTCACGCCCCTGGCAAAGCGTGCAATGAAGTGCAGCGTTCCCCTGAAAACCCAGGCAGCTCTCTCATCTCTCGATGGTGTGTTTGCGTTATTTATTTTCAAAAGTTTGAGAGAGGTGATTAATAACTGGAACAAGCCTTTAAAAACGTTACTTTTAGATGACGGAAGAGGAGAGAGACTGTGGCTGTTCTAATGGGTCCTCTAAGAGTCGGCGCAAAAAAGGAGGCTGATGGAGAAGGAAGGGGGTCACGAAAAGATGTCGTTCTTTAAACAAATGTTCAGATGACGCCAACTTCTTGTCTGCCCTTCAGGCAAGTAGCAATCCTTGTCGTTTCAGTTTTTCTTTTTAAATTGTAACATTTTAAAAAAAGGCTATTTAAACTGCCCCCCCCCCCCAATCTAGACTGTCTTTCACCACTGATAACTGGTAAGTTTATGATCCGTGTAAAACTGCTTTTAGAAATGTAATGACACTGCAGGGTCCTTAAAAGTTCAGCAATTCAGCAAAACTCTTAAGAAGGGGCCAGGCACCCTGTAATAGCCTGTGATTTTCCATTGTCAGAACCCTCCTCCTCTTTAAAACAAAAGCAGCATCTGACCAGGTTTATCGATGTGCTGCTAAACAAACTGCAGAAGAGTGCTGTTGTGCCGAGGGCAATCATTCGGGCTTTGTGTCCTGCTGGTCCTTCGGATTTTCATTTTTGGCACGGATGTTCCTGGGAGGCCCGGCGCCTGGGAAACCCACCAAAAAAGCTGCTGAAATCACTGTAATAAGAAATACCCCAATTTAAGAGAAGTGCACGGTGCCGACGGTCAAGAGGGCAGCAGATAACCCGCTCCCCTCGCCTCCTCCCCCTCCGCGGGGATAAAACGCTGAAAGCGCGCGGGGCGTGAGGCGGCGGGCGCGCGCCCGGCCCAACGGTTCCAACGGCCTCCAA